AAATTATACGTAAGGGAAACGTACTACACAGAATCTATAACAATTTTCTCTGTACCTGGAGCACCTATACGAATCGTCAGGCTCGTGGAAGCTGTGTTTCTTGCAAAGTCTATGGTAGAACCCATGCACCGCAAAGCGATTCACCGCATGTCGGTTTAGTCGGTTCGCCCCTTTTCATTCTATTATATATAGCTATTCCTTACTGCACTTAAAAAAAAATCACTGTCGATTTCGCGAGTTTTTATTCCCAGTTGTTAAGGTTGATCACAAAGGTTTCTGTGACAGAGGCAACTTCGTTAAGAGATTACGGGTCGTTGTGTGTAACCCCGGCTTCTTTGAAAAAGGAAGGTCTTGATGTAATTTAATCGAGGTTTTCCTCTGTGAAGTTTTCCTGAATGACACGTATCTTATACGTTGCGATCGGAGCCACCTTGTGGCCGAACAGGCTGATAGAAGTTCAGCCAGCCAGGCTAGTAGGTCTCTAAGTTGGCCGAAAGTGCCTTCCTGCGACTCTCAGAAAAAACGTGAGGTGCAACTCTGACGTTGACAAAGATCAGCAACCTCAAGTACGGGAATCAACTACCATAAGCAAGAGGCGATCCGGAGAGGTACAAAATGTCAGTGACATTGACCTCACTTTATTACTATTCATCGCCTTACTTATACCATATACTGTGTAGTTGCCGCGTGGAGCTGGGCTAGGGTTTACAGTACCTAAAATCTTTTCGATCCGCATATCAGTAACTCATCTGAATACAGAACAGCCTCAGTTAGCTTTTGTGGCCCTTTTGTTTGATTAGGGAAAGTCAGCAAAATAAAGAATAGGAATTGGCTTAAACTGTCCCTCAGAACCAGGACAGTTGCCTATCTGAAAGACAACAGTTCAGTCACTCCGTCATCGAGCGTTATTTTATTGTCTTGTCTAATTGAGCACGTTCATAAAGGCTCCAACTTCGGTCCATATGAGCATAACCTTCACTCTGGACTCAAAATTGAAGATCGCCTTAAAATCAATGAACACTGCATACAGCAGATTGTGCGGTTTGCCATTCTCTCTTGATATCGACTGTCAAGATTCTGTATGCTGTTTCTCTGGAACGTTGTCTTCGATACCCATGTTACTCCGTTGAAGTGGAAGGAACGCTTTTTAAGTACGTATTTAGTCTTTCAGTGCGGAGGTCGAAGAGCGGCTTTCTTTTTGCGAATACTTGCCATGATTCAGCGTTTAGGTCTCGCCTTTCATCTAGAAATCCACTATATTACATCTTTCCACTGGCTTGCAGGTGTACAAGTACATAAACATTAAATAGTCCCTTTCAGCACGATATCAGAAAAATGAAACACTTCAGATCCTGCCTTGACCTCGCTTTCTGCGCAAATTTTTAAGACTCTGCAATAGTTCCCGCTACAAATTCTTATTGAATAGTATCGCGTTGAGATTGTCTCTTACCATGTCGGGGTAGAAAAAAGACACCATATCCGCAAATGTATCCAAAAAATGACTCATTAGGAACAAAGAGCTGATTGGGCGCGTCGTCTGATTGTCACTTCTGCTGTATAAGAAACGAAAGTAAATTTATCAAATCGAAGTCTGGTTATTGCAAAGACCACTCAAACTCAGGGTATATATGAGAAAGATCCACCCACACTGTCAGATATCAGAGCGTATTGCTCTGGAGTCAGCGTTATCCGGGTATTCATAGAGCTTAGCATCTCTTATTTTCAGTATAGTTCTATAGTTGCTTTTAACTTTTTATAAAAAAGTTAAAAGAAGTAAATTTTACTCAAACAGACCATGTTAAGAGGCCAATAATAAGAAAGAACCCCTGCATCATTTGCATCCTACCATTTGCCCTACACCATACCAAAACATAGCAAGTGGTATGAAGCCATCGTTGTGAGCCAATTTTTATTATTTATATATTCTTTTTGGATATAAACAACCATTAACGTATCGATTTCCATTTTTACTTCAACTACGGGCTTTCTCCAAAAATATAGCACTTATTTTTGTCTCAGTTTTTTTTGTACATATATATAATATGTTCCGCGAGTAATAGCTTTATTTTGTGAATCTGTTTTTGTGTTAAATAGACACTGTTTAGCCTCGAGAGTGCACTTTCCATGTCCGAATATTAACGTACTTGCCGGCAGATTGTGGTCGCTTTTTATATGAGCACGAAACTTAGTAGGCCATTTGCATGCTACGCACAGGGGTACCAGCTTTTGTCAATACGGAGTTTCCCAAAATGTTTTTAAACATGCACAGGCGCAACGAGTTTGGCGAAACCGCGTTCGACTACTACATATGGTTCGTATTATTGTTCCTGTGAATTTTCCATTTATACTCAATAATAATGTAGATTTTTATTCCTGCACTCAAATAAACCCGCTGAACTACCCACAAAAAATATATCAACGCGAAGAATACGGTTTGCCGAGGGACCTTGTTGTTTAACGTTAGGACAATGCTGTGAATAGTGACGGATAACGTGAAATGATAGGTACAAGAACGTAGCGGACAATTTCTAGATAAATAAGGAGATCACGATTTTATTATAACTTCATTAAGATAACAGGAGATGAATGTAACGATGAGAAATATCCGTAGAATTGGGACCTGATTCAGGAAAGACGAAAAAACCAGTAATCTCACTTGTCAAAAAATTAACGACAGAGTAATTGGAATAGAGTTTGGCATTGCGGATAACCTCACGCTAAGAAGTTTGATAGGCGCACAACAACCATAGCTGCTAAAGACATAATGCAAATGTGGAAGATTAAAATACATTTTCGTAACTATTCTGTAAGGAAAACATCTAGACATTAAACAGAGAGCTTTAAGGGAGAATAATATCGATTCCTAGCAAGATCTCACGTATCACTCATACAACACTTCGAATTGCCAAAAACAAAAATATTTCATTTAATAATATTCAAGGATGAGTTACACATACCCAGGTAACTAAATTATTTGAATATGCCGGGAAAATACGATGAGCCTTCTTTTCTTACATAGGTTAAAGTTAAATCGGACCATATTAATATTTTGGCTAAGTAATTCGAACTGAACGAGCTAAAAAATCGCTACCGAAAACCGAATTCGGTAAGGATTTTTAGACCAACAGTGTGCCTGACTTATTTTCGAGTACATTGTAAACTTACAAAAAAGTGTCATTTGCTACGGTGCAGAAAGCCTGCACAGTGTGCAATACGAGGCCATTACATGCCACGCTAGTAATACGAAGAAGAGTATCCTTGAGGGTCTAGTATATAAGAATAGATAATGAATTCGGCTACTTCTGAATCGATTTGCTGCACCAATGGCACTGCTAGCTTGTGTACGATGCCAGTAATGGTTATGGAAGTATCATACCATTTTATTTGTTACAAGTACTCAGCATTGAAGGATATCTTTTTCAAAATCGGAAAAGTATAAAACATCGACGAATTCCTCGCATGCTTCAAAGCACAAAAAAAGGCAGAGAACATTCGGTTGAGACGAAGGCCGTGAATTCAAAAATTGAAAAATGGATAAGTCCCCAGTCTAAAGGAGAAGGAATTATCGTTTTAAAATCCATACCAACATTATTGGGATGTCCAGTAAGACCTACACCAGCTAGACCTTCTACTGGGGCTTTTATCTTTGACACTACAGCGAAAATGGTGATTCTGAGAGTTTGTTCATACAGTACATATAACTGAAAACCTAAAAGACATCAACGGTATTGTCGCGAAAAGCCATTAAGGATATTTTTGAGCTTTTCAAAGCAACCCTGATCGACACTACGTTTTTACGTTTACCCCGGAGCGAAATAGCTCTGTCCAACCACCTTTATGAATATAACGATCACAAACGCTGATATAAAGCTAACATCATATGAGATAATCCATCAACGAAAACCACATCTATCCAAAACTCACAAAATCAGCGACAGATGCGGCGTATCCTATGGACTATGATTAGAAGATTTATGGCTGTATTAAGGTACCACCACTGGTTTACCGTAAACCAAGTAAGCGCGTACGTCGCCATATCTTGAGACAATTTTGGCCATACGCGTTTACAGAAGCCTTTACCTAGTTCAGGCTGCCATAAAATTGGCCTTCCTAATTAGCTTATTCACATAAAAATAGTACGGTCTACCATAATAAAAGTCGGGAAGTGTACAGACTCAGTGGCGCGCTCTGTATGGCTTACAGAAAATAAGCAAATGCTTTTCTATCCGGTATCTAGGGAGTTTATCACTAAATAATTTGCAAACGGTAGAGCTCGAAGGCCAGTTCAGAAAATGTTTTTTATGGACAACACACTCTTGCTGAAAACACGCCTAAATCGCTCAATAATATAATCAATAGCAAATGGAAAATATCGATTGGCGTGCTCCATAAAGCTTATCTGACTACAATTTTGGACGTTAATCACTTTCTAGACTGGTCTAGAACCTTACGTACAGTGGCATATGTTAACCGTTTCATTAATAAATGCAGGAAACCGCGGGGTTCCAAACATTATAGCGAATACCTTGAGACTACAATATGAAACACCGCATTATTTGCTTTTCCGTAACATCCTAGAAAATGACTTTCTGATAAAATTCGCGTCTAGCGGCAAGGTCTCAAAGAGGAGCAACGGGTTGTATCCAGATGCGCCGTTTAAGAATCCGGAGTATAAGAAAGATTTACTCTAGCGTGATTCGAGCCTGAAAAAGCCACATTTTTGTATGAAGCAAATATCAAATTCTACTGCAAAGGAACCACAAATTTGTTAATATAGTAATAAGCTGGATGCATATGCAAATGCACCTTCACGTTGGAGGTGTAACAATGACATTGCATAATTTTAGGTCGTTGTACATTATTTTAACACAATCAGTTTTTGCCATGTGTAAAGTTTGCATAAGGGTGAAAATGCGTTCAGAAATCAAACAAACGCCGTTAATCTTCTCCATTAAGGTCAAGCAAGCCTATTTATTCACGTGTACAGGAATTTACCTTGTGGATCCTATGTATTGTCGGAATGATCAGACGAAAAATCCAACGAGTTACAGTACAGCGGTTGTTGTGCAATTACAAGGACTGCACACTAGGATATGAGACCGGATCTAACGACGTTCAAGTCCCTACTCTCACGGTGCAAATTTATTATTAGGCGTTCATTGGTTGCAAATATAATCCCAGACAACTCGTTGACATTTAAGCGAGCAGCCAAAGAAGTACAGTTGATCTATAAACATGTCAAAGGCAAACAGGTACAGTCTTTGTTGGCTGTGCACTAAATCGCGCGGCAATTTACTACAAAGCTCATGCCCCTATCCGGTGTTTGATTGCAATAATTTGCTCCGAAAATTTTAGGAACAACCTGTGTACACTGTCGAGGGCTTGTGATAGTTTTGACCAGTATTGAAGCGGCAGTTACAAGCCTTTCGATAACAACAGCGGCGATTGGCTCGTGGAAAGTAAGAGCCCTACCTCCCTTACTTTATAGCTATCAAAGGTAATGCACTTCATTTGCAAGAAAGATTCTTATTTTATCGCTATCACAGGTAACACATTTTAGCCGCAAAAGGGATCAGATGTTTTTATAATATTGAGAGTATTTACGTTAAGTTAATTTATGACAGCCTGTAGAAAATTAGCCACGAAGGCCAATTTGGTCAATCAAAGTGGATGACATGTGTATTTTAAATGATCAAGTTCTCTTCTGTTCATAGTAGATTGACTAGCCGCTTGGCAGTAAATAAACTGATCTCAGATATCGGGCCAACGGTCAACAATACAAAAGGTCTATGTACCTACTATACGACTTAGAATGTACTAAGCTAAAGTTGACCAAGCGGCTAGTTATGTTGCAGACCAGCTTTACAGATATCGACAAGAAAACGCAAAAAAAATAGTCCTTTTACATATCACATATTTGTTTTGATTGTTTTACCTTTTGCGCCTATTCCAACGTGCTGCCCCCGAGATTGTCGACAAAAATGCTCTTCTCAACGCATCGCATACATGTTTTTTTCTGCCAGTCGTACCCTATTCCATAACGAAACGCTATTATTCTCTTATTAGCGTAGAGTTTGCCTGAAATATGAAAAGTTAATTAACGGTTGTCACTTAGGGCTCCGCTACTCAACGTAAGTTTACATGAGCGTAGGTCCCAAACAATAATTTCACGAGCTAAAATATGCTATAATACAATTTTTTTTTAAATTTTAATTTTAAAAAATTTAACCGACTGTATATCATGATTTTGCTTTGTAATTTGAATTATGAAAAATGTATCTTGGTTGTGTGCACTTGTGGAAGCCTTGGAGAAATGTTAATAAATAATAGCATTTGAACGAATAGAATGAGGTAGTAAAACACAGCACAGCGTTTACTTGCGGCTTGCAAAGATCAGGACTACTAGATTCCGTGTAACGCCCCCGAGTTTTCCTGCAAAAACGAATCTTAGTTAGGCTGACTAATCGCCACCTCACTGTACCTCGTGACTCCTCGATACAAAAAATATGCCCAAAAGTGTTTTTATTTATTAAATAGAGCAACTGAGAGGCTAGGTAAAAATACGTCACACACGCGAAACCGACTGTACCTTCGGTTCCTCCGAGGAGGCCTTACTATGTTATCTAGCTGTGTTGATGATCTAACCATAGCTACCAGCAGTATTTTGAGAAACATCTCGAGCTATCAACGAATAAGCTCTCTTTCATCTTGGTCATTAAGATACAGCGGAATTACTAAGTCCCTATCTCGCATAGAAAGTACGTCAAGGAGGTTCCAGAGCACTTTGGAATAATTCAATGACGAGCGACAGACACATCGCCAGTCGAAGCAGACTTAAGCAATGAGCAGCGAACAAGTCGAGTAAGCGTCACAAGGTAACATAATCCACCTAAGCACCTTAAAAGTCTACTTCAACGTAATCAAAGTAAGCTTCGCACTCAGCGTGTTGAAACAAGAATGCGCCAACTCCAAATACTGTACCTACGGGTACTGCACATTATCGAGTGTTTTGTAGCAAATAAATCCCGCTTAGCTCTTTAAAGTCCCGTATGGGTAAAACAAGAAACGCTGCTGAAGTAAGCAATACACACAAACGTACAGAATCTAATGAAAATGACCAACGTTACCGCGAATTGTTCGTGGGTAAGTCGTAATTAACAAGTGCTCCATGCTCAAATGCATATGTAGTCTCTATTTGTTATTATAGTCATAGTAAATGAACTTTATTACTTGGTGTACAATTCCAGAGTATTTTTGCTTTTGCTTTTATTTGAACGGTGTTTGCTAAGTTACCTGATAAAAATGCTTCTTAACTTACAAACGATCTAATGCAAGCTTACGAAGTTGGCGGCTGTATTAGATAATTCCAGAGGTCGACATATGTAACTTTAAAGCGAAGATTTAACATTTTGAAGATATTAAAGTACAAGGCCTTCTTTCTTTGTCATTCAAAGATAGGATACTCTAATCCAGATTCTACGCATTCTTCAGAAATTTATTTTCCTGCTAAGAACAGAAACATTTTGGAAGAAGCCCATAAATCTTTCAATGGGGTATCCATTGACAAAATTTCGGCAGTGTACCTAAGTACATAATCAAAAAAAGAGATCTTTATTTCATACTTTCGGTTATAATTTTATATTTAACATATGCTATCAGTAATATGTGAAAACTAAACGATTAAAATTTGTAACCATGCGTAACATGACGGTCTGTATCTTTTACTCTTAGCAATTTCGCCAATATTCGCTCCTACCGCAGGAGAATTGCCTTTCCTGTCCGGTATTTCGTCTTCTGATTCACATTGTATAGCAACTTTTACTCTGTGTACACACATATCAAAACGAATTTCACGCAGCGGAGGTCTGTAAAGGTATGCATTTTTAGAGGTAGTTATTTCACATTTGTTCGGGTATTGTCTTTAGCCTTTTGGGTAGAAATTTAGAAAACAGTGTGTGGAAATAAAATTTTCGGTTTTTAATACGATAATTTGAAGAATTAAAGGAAGGGCGTCAAGTTTCCAATTTAATATCGAGTCAATGCAAGTCCACATACGCGCATTATTTCTTTAAAACGAGGCAGTAAACATAATAGAATTCTGCAGTACTTTTAAAGGTTGACAAAAATGTGCAGATAATTTTCAGAAAGCATTATGCTACACATAGCGTTTACGGAGTGATGTTTAGCCTATTCTTTATACGTCTATTTAAACAAAGCATAAGTGTCATGCACATAAGGCTGTCTGGTTGAGTCGTATTACCTGTTCCCAAGAAAACCTTGCTAATATTGAACCTATTTTGTACGCAGTCTACGCGCTTAGTAGAATCCAACAGAGATGGACCTGCATTTTGATAAAAAGTAATTAAATATAGTGAGTTAGTATTATTATTTATAAGAAACAATGAAAAGTTTATGTGAAAATGCGTGAACAAAACGTTTGCTATTCTCGAGCTCCTTTAGTTAGTTTGAAATCGTTTCGACATTATTGTAGTAAAGTTTTTTGAGACCAGCTTTCTGTTAGCCAGCTGAACGTCACACTGCTGATGGAAGGCATTCAATTAAATGTCCTTGAAGCTATTACTATCTTTCCACAATAAGTATGTATAGTAGTCACCATTATGTGACTTCCCGGATACATTTATAAAAATTTATCTTCATAGCACCATTATCTTTATCCACAATTTTCCGAGAAAATTGACCTTGATCTGAAATATTCACGTATGTGGATTTTCAAGTTAGCGGTTTATAAATCGACACGCTACAACCACGGTTGGAATGGGTAAAATGAAGATTTAAAAAAGACTTTCAGTATAAACCCGAATGTTCAAAAGATCGCCTATGGCGTTCTATTTCTGTCTTCCCTGGCTACGTTTTCGTCGTGCCCGTCGGATTTCAACATGAAAATAAAAATTTCAAGGTCGTCATTCGGTTTGCCAGAAGACCATCCGCCGTTTTAAAAAATACGTCAGCGGTATTATGCTTTTCATAAACCTGTTACCCTTGAATCCTTCGATAATGCCGTAACAAAGCTTTCATAGTCTTGTTTTGATCAATTCCTTTTTAACGACTTGAAGTCTATATCTTTCCACAAAGCCTCTCATTGCCTTTTCAATTAGAGAAGCAACTAGTAGCATACATAAAAATGTTCACCAGTGATGGATGCATGTGAATGTATGCATATATCGGCCAGATTTATGGTAATCGTTCTAGTAAATTTTGAAATAATGAAAAACGTTGAATATATTCAAAGATTTTACGAAAATCATCAGAGCAAGGCTACCCGAGATGTGATGGCTGACTGGAAGTTACTCGCCTGTAATTTTCGGGTTTGATACTGGCAGACTCGTCCAATCAGTTTCCAAGACCATTTTCACTGTTAGTTTTCCTTTACCAATTTTTGAAAAACGTATTCTCCAGTTAGCACGAAGTTTAGAAAACAAAAGAACTTCTCACACGCTTGGGATTGTCGTGGAGAATCACAACCTTGCCTTCGTTTAAGTAAATCCCGTAGATTGAATATGCGTGTCGTAGTTGTATGAGTGCAGTTCATATCTTGCCCAACTCACGAATTGTTTTCCAGCCGTCTTTTCCGAGAAGTGCCCTATCCGTCATCCTGGCTGATCGAGACGGGATGCATCGTGCAGTTCTGGGATGCTATTATTGCAGCGTAGGTGTAGAAAATATATCTATTTTTAGTCTAGAACCTCAGTCTTCAGAGCCTGAGCTCGGCATAAAATTTCTTTCACTATGAAATACTGAGGAGAGCTCTTTTGAATGGTACATAGAAGTAGGCCAACAATGTAAAAGTATGAAGGAAATGAAACTTTTACTTGCGTTACAACTTTATAACTGACAGACAATTTGACCCTTATTTTACAAATTTCTAGTTAAACTCGTACAACCACATTTTTTCCTGACCCTTCGTTTCCTACTTGACAACATTAAATTAAAAAATTATTTGCTTTTTAAGCTCAACGACATGAACAAAAAAATTAATTTTGATCAGAAATAGTTTTCATTATTCTCCGGTTAAATGTCAGAAATAAGCTATATTTATCGTGATGGTTGGTAATTGGTGAGATATGTTAGTGTGAAAATTGGAAAACGGGTTAAAAGCGACGGAAAAATGGAAGGCACCACGTGCGTACTAGGAATAGTATAAGAACGTAAACGAGAAAGTGGTTTATTATCCAATATTAGATTATTTTCCAATATTCGAGAACGTTATACGACCTAAAACCGTATGGATAAACCTAGGATTTGCATTAGTTTTTCTTAAATTCCCTCGGTCTCAAATCTTTTTTTCTTTCGCTGTTTACGCAGTACATAATGTGCTCTCATTCGTACTATATAATAAATTGTCGAAAATGTATTGACCCTTTTCAAGCCAAAATCAAGGCAAATATTTTGTACTTTTCAAAGTAATATTACTCAACTAAATGTGCGGAATTTTACTCGATAACCTTTCGCTATTTTGTCGGTGGCATCATAATCTGATCACTGTAGAACTTTTGTAGTTTTTGAGCGAAAAATGGCAAAGAGCAATTTTGCGTTCTTCTATTGAAACTAAATTAAATCATTAAGACAGTCTTTTTCGAAGACCGAAATAGATGATAGTATAACAATGCAAGATCTTGGCTGGATAGCGAATGCAAAATTTTCCATATGAACCCTCCCAGTTTTTGGCGGGTAGCTAAATATGTATGTGGTCTAACGTTGCAACGATGGAAAGCAACATGTTTTCTGTTCGCTGTTTTCGGTCAATTTCTTTTAATGACTCGTATTTTTATTACTTGTAGCAGAGGTCCGAAGCAGTCCTTCTAGTAGGTAGCAGCAACTCGTAATGCGCGATTTTTGTGCAGTCCCCCCAACTACATGGCATCACCTTCTTTAGCTTCAATATAGGATTTGCTACAGATTGTGGAGCATATTTTATTCTTTTTGTTTGTACAAAGTTGTCATATGCTTATTGCTTAATTTCATTCAGTTTCTACAGTCTTCAGATGAAAATGTGATCAAATAAATTCTTTTGCGTCAATTCATATGGCACCCAAACATCGAGCTTTTTCTGTGGTCCCAACTTTCTCCCAATAGTTTGGTAGTGGATGTTTGGTTTTTTAGCTACGCCGTTTCTTCTGATTTTGCATTTCGGTTGTAAATAGCATAGATTTATTTGATGGGTTGGGGCAGCATTTGTACCTTCATTGTAAAAAAAAATATATATATAGGACATTTAGCGAAAATATTATCTTCAAAGTGGTATATCTTAGATCTCAGTAAAGAAATTCCCACAATTTTAATGCATTAACTACCAAATTCCAGATTTTAAATGAACACCAGCTCATATTACCTGATATATGTGGCTCTAAAGCCGTCTGTATTTTTTTCGACGGCTTATTATTCGTCTCCCAGAAACATGACCAAAACATGCTTACTTCAAAGA